AGCTTGTTGCCCACTCCGACGTTAGAGCTGACCCCCCTCTCCATACCGTCGTCCCTCAGGCCAACAACCTCTTCTGAGTCACCTTCAAGTCGGAAAGCAAGGAAGCCCTTATTCTATAGCAGAACCTGGGTCCTCCGTGTTTCATAATGTGCTTCTAGAGCTTTGCTTTAAAAAAAATCATCTGGCTACATCTCCTGCAAGTTTCCTCAGCCACTAAGGAGTAGAGCCAGGAGTGGGACCTGCCTCTCCTGGAGGCCTGTCCTGTGCTCTGGGCCAAGCAGCCAGTCTCCCCAGTCCTGGGCCGCCACATCCCAACTCTCTCTGCTTTCAGAACGGCCCCTGGAGATACAGAGCGGTGCTCAGGGACCGAGGGGCCGGCTGGGCCGCTGTGAGGACCTCAGCGCATGGGCACTGCTCCGCACACCCAAGCCACGACCTTGGGTGGCACGGGATGGGGGGTGGCCCTTTCTGCTGCCCGAGAAGCGGACTCGGGTCCCCGTCCCCCACCCAATATCCTCCCCCCCAGCTTGCCTGCTGTGCAGGCAGGTCCACTGAGATGAAGGGGGGCTGTCCCCGACCCTTGCTGGCCAAGCACCCCCTCTCTGTGCAGGAGCCCTGGCCACCTGTTGTTAATCTAGCCCTGGTAATCCATTCTGTACTGTGTCAGCAGTTCAAAAGGGCACTGTTAGTATTTTTTGCCGACTTCAATTAATGTGAGATTTCAGAGGCCCCTCTGATCACATTTCATCTGTCACAAGTCAGGAACAAAACAGACAGGTCCCAGTTGAGAGGAGGAAGGAGAAGGAAGTTTATTGCAAACACCGACCGAACACACAGTGTGGGCTGTGCCCAGCGAAGGGTGCACCAGAACGCCCAGCACTTGCCAGCCGAGCCTTTCGGCCCCAAGCCTAGGCCCTAGTCCCCTTCTCGTCAATATTCCTCCCCTCCCCCAAGAAGATGTAAGTGCAATAACTTACTTTAAAAGGCAAGAAATGATTCTTTTAATAGTTTGCTATAATGTCGTTACATGGTGCTATAAGGCAGTAAAACTTTATGGAACTGACCTCATTTTTTTTAAACATTTTTTTCTGAATTTTTAATGTATCTTTAATATATATTTTTTAATATTCCACCCCAGGCCATTAAGCTAAAGGAAAAGTTGCGTTTATACAGGGTTAAAATATCTTACAATGAGAACAGTCAGTGTTGGCCGAGGTTCCCGTTCCTTGGAGCGCTCAGCTCTCTTTTCCACCACTGCACATCCAAACAGATCATTAGGCATTGAACACTGTCCCTCAAAATCAGTAGTATAAAGGCCTAGCTCTATGTGTGTGAGTGAAGGGGAGAAGGGGAGGGTGGGACTAGGTCATGCTTGCCTGGCCAGAAGGCCTTTCCTCCCTGCGGCCACCTTGGCGAGGGGGAGCGGGGTTGTTGTGACTTTGGAAGTAGGGCTCTCCTGGTCTTATTTTTCTCTTGATGCTTATCCTGGGGGCCAGCCTGGCAACCATCATCCCCCAGCTAGTCTTGTTTGCCTTTGGCCCTGACAGGGTCATCAAGCAGACCAGAGGCCCTGGACTGTCCTACTTGACGGTGTCCCCTCAACCCGGCCCCGAGAGAGAACGGCTGCCTGAGCGAGACACACGGTAGCTTTCGTGGACAAGCTCCTCTTGGCTACCCCGCCGAAAACAGGGCGGGCAGGGGGCCCTGGAGCTGGGCCCCATGTGGCCATTGCCTCTGGGGACCCACCTCGGGACGGCTGTCCCCCCTCCCCCTGCAGTGTCTTCGAACCCACCCTGCCACCTTGCTTGCCCGAGCTGGAGGCGTGGTAGCGAGAGCCGAGAATCAAGTATAGTTGAAAGGATTCAAGAAAGGTTACGAAGTCCGTGTCCCGCCAGTGCCATCGAGGACCGGGGGGACAAGCCTCGCCGTGTGCCCCCAGAGTCCGCTTCTCTCGCACCCTCTGGGAGCTGAGAGGGCCGCTGAGGGCGGTAGCAGCACCTTCGTGTCAAGCCCCGGCTGCCTGGGCCTGTTCCCAGGGGGGCCCAGACGCCCCCCTCAGCGTTGAGGAGGCCGCCTCGGGTTCGCATCTCTGGCTCTGTGAGACCTGAGGCCCAGAGCCAAAGGGAAGCCTCACCCCTGCAGCTTATGTGCTTCGCGGTGACCCCCAGAGCCGGCTGGCGCTCCTCTGTGCCCACCTGCCTGAGCCCTCGCGCCCGAGGAAGCCAGCCAGCCAGTCCCCGAGGGTCCCCCCAAGCTCGCGGAGTCCTGGCAGGGGCTGCCGCGGGGCCGCCTCCTGCCCTGGGAGGTCTGGGCCTTGCCGCCCACTGGGAAGGCAGCAGAGGGAAGGCTGAGGAGAGGGAGGACGGCCAGCAGGGAGCGGAGAGGCTGCAGGAGGCCACGCCACCCCCTGCGGGCTAAGGCCACGCGTGTGCCCTGCTCCCCGGGACAGTCACCCCCCACTTGGCACTCCCCCACCATGGCCAGGACCTTCTCCTCTCCATTGGGAAGGGAGCACATTAAGTAGAGGGTCTTTATGTCCCTCCCAGCTCCAGGTCCTATGATTCTCGGAGCGTTGGGCTGGCCCTGGGGGCCTGGGGCAGGGAGCTACCTGTGGGGAGGTGAACAGGCACATTTCACATGGACATTTTAATCATAAATACTTGGCTGTGTGGGTGGGAAGGGCAGCCAGAAGCACAGGGCTTCCCCTCTATTAGAGGCTTTTTCTTCTTGAGCTTTTTGGTTGAAATTTGTCTGACTTTGGTCTAGCCCAGCCAGAAAGCAGTCAGATAGAAGGATTGAGCACCAGGGGTCCCTTCCAGAAGAATCTGCCTAGAGCCCCCTCCCCTCCTCCTCTGGGTATCTCTGAGTTCTCCATCGCTCTGTGTTGGATCCCCTCCTGGGTGAGAACATGGTATGACAAGGGTTCCTCCCTTGTCCTTGCCAGCCACCAGAGCCCTTAAGGGAAAGACAGGGAATGATTCCCAGCCTTAAGTGTTTCTCCCTTTCCCTTCCTAGATTTGGGGAGCCTGAGTTATTTCAGTGAACCTCAGAACTGGAAAAGGCTCCCTAAGAGTCATTCCAATATCCTCAGCTATATGGATCATTTAAAACCAGCATTTAACTTCATGTCCAAGATCGCTTCTAGAAGATCAGTGTTAGGGCTATGGTTCGCAAAGAAGTCTGACTCTTACCAAGGGAGGCCAAAACCAGATCCTTCCCCAGGCCTGTTTCCACGGCAGATGAGAGCACAAGGCAGAGGTGGGGACCGTGATGCCTTTTAAGCCTCGAGCAGCTCAAGGGGAGAGGATCTCACCCTCCACCCAAGCCAAGAGGCTGTCCTGTGTACAGGCCCCCAAGCCCACTGGACTTAACCCTCCTCCCGGACAGGATCAAGGTAGAAGGTAGGAAAGGTGAGCACTTGTCCCCAGGTCCCCCCCACTGGAGGGGCCTCTTGGGCTCTAAAGGGTGGCCCCAGAGGACAGGGACTGGGTACCACAAGCTTAGATGATAGCTGAATCTGGTACCAAAACTCGAGCTGCTCGTCTCCAGTCAGGCAGGTGTGGAGTTTCCTCCCCAGAAGGAAGCACCTTCCTGCAGGTAGGGTCACGGCTTCTGGACGGCATCCTGCCCCCCACATCCGGGACAGAGCAAGTGACCCAGAGGAGAGGTGCCCACCAGCCCTTCTAGAGGCTGGTGAGAGGGAGGGGCTGAGATTTCGGATTCCCTAGGGACGAAGTACAAGAGCAGGCCCTCTCTGGCCTCGCCTGGTAGAACATGGGGTCCCCACCCACTGTGGGGGACTCTGGGCAGGTAGGGTGCCGCTCCAGGGATGGCTGACAGGGGACAGGCAGCCTGAGGCAGTGTGGGGACTGAGAGGCTGAGCGTGAGCACACATCCTTTAGCTAATTCTGCACGCTGCTCTCAACCCCTTCTGCCAACATGACTCCAGGCCCTACTCTGTGTTCCGAGGTATAAGTCCTTCCACGCCAGGACACTGCTCAGCAGCCCTGGCAAGCGACCAGAATGGGTGGGGGAAGGGACAGGTGTCTCCAGGTCCTCCAGGAGGGGCCTGGCGGGCTAGAAAACAAAGCTGCCTAGACCTGCCCTCTGGAACAGTCGTCCTGCGGGTTGTGGGGCGTCGGGTGGTCAGGAGAGCAGATGTGAGTGCCTGAGCCCCTGTCCCTTCCCGGACACCTCCTTGCAGCTCTTTCTCTCTCTAGAAGCTTTTCTCCTTCCAGCACCGTGGGTACTGTGGGTGGTCTGGGTCCTCCCTTCGCAGTGTTCACCGAGATCCAGAGTCTGCCCCCTCGGGGGCTGTCCAAGCTCCCAGACGCCAACACTGCTGGATGCCAGCAGGATTCTTCAGCTCCTCTCCTGTTCTGTCCAGCCCTCCAGGTGGGTCCAGCACAGCGGACGGCCAGGGTGGGTGGAGGTGAGGCGGGGGTGCCTTGGGCCCAGGGGGTCAGGGCTTTAAGAGGAGAAAGGGGGGCGGGCGCGGCAGGAGGGCGACTCTGCAGGACCCTGAAGAACAGGACTCCAGGCTTCAGACAAACTCACTGGCCCGGTGACCAGGGGACCACACGGCTGAGGGAAGGACGGACATGACTGCACGTGGCTATTGCTCGGTCTGGATGGGAACCTAGCCTTGACTCAACCCTCAAATCGGGCAGGGCAGGGGAGCAGGGGTGGGGAGAAAGGGTCTTCAGCTTATAATGGACGCAAAGCTGCAAAACTTGGGCACCTGGCTTCCTCCACTGCCCCCGGCCAGGAGCAGGGGCTTGACCTCGGGGCCCAGGCAGGTGGGACCTGCTGCCCCCTCCCTCCCAGCGGTCCATGGGGCCTCACACTCGGGGTGGCTGAAAGTGCTGAGGGCCAGGCCCCTGGCCCAGGCCAGGTTCCTAAGAGGACAGTCAAATGGGAGGCTGGGGGCCTGGGAAGCGTGGGCGTGGCCAGTGCCCTGAGGCGGGGGAGGGCATGGGGACAGGCCGAGAGGTGCCCTGTCATGTGGCCCAGGAGATGGCCGCACTGTGCTCCTTGGCCTTCATGCGCAGGGCCGCGATGCTCGAGGTCTTGCGGTCTGGCTCCCCGTTGAGCTCGTAGCCGTTGAGGCCCGGGCTGAGGCCCGCCGCTCCGAACAGGCCTCCCATGTGTGTCTGGCCCACGTGACTGCCAGCCCCGGAGACGCTCAGGAAGTCGGTGACACCGCCGGCCCCGGAGCCAGGGGGGTGGGTGTGAGGGGACATGCAGGCAGGTACCGGGTCACAGGGGACCACACAGGCTGGCACCGGTGAGGCAGCCCCATTGTTGCCGATCCAGGACGGGTTCTGAATCTGGGGAGAGGGAAGGGAGAGCTGTCACAGGCCAGCTGGGGTTAGGGGCAGGCGTGGGGGTGGCAGGCACATGGCGGGGGAGAGGCGCTGCTGCGTACCCCCCGACGACCTCGCCCTGCTCACAAGCCCATCGTTATGACGAAATCGTGCTTGGGTGTTCACCCGGGAGCCTCTCAAAACCTTGATGGCCATCCAGACCTGGAAGGGCTCGGGTTCTGTGCTCTGGCTCCTCTGCTCCCCGCAGACAGAAGTGGTTTTCGGGACTGAACTTCACACTTGGTCAAGGGTCCAGTCACAGGGCTGCCTTTAGGGCACGGCCAAGCCGCTGAGGGCAGCTCCCCCCTCAGCCAGCTGACTTCCGAATTTGAGATGCAGTGGCCGGCTTCGTCTTTCCCTCCATGGCCCCTGGAGGTCAGCGACTGTCCCCCTCCCCTGGGACTCCTCGCCAGGCCTGCGGCATCCCAGGTACCTGAGAAACGGGAGCCGACCTGAACTCAGAGGGCTCTGGTGTTGGGAAGGTGGGCTCTGGGCTGGCAGGCTGTGGCATGGTGGGGGCAGAGCTGGGCGGTGGGGCCTCCTCTCCCCGGTGTCCAGACCAGTGGCTGAGCTTCCAAGTGCTGTGTCCTCGAGGCTCCAGAACTTACTTAGGAAGGAAGGGGCTGCCTCAGGACGGGCCGGGTGCCCACAGGCCAGGGTGTGTGTGTGTGTGTGTGTGTGTGTGTGTGTGTGTGTGCGCACATGTGAGAGGTGCTCAGGCAGCACGCGGGGGTGGACTGGAGGCAGATCTGGGCTTCAGGGGGTTGGGACAGGCTGAGTGGGACCAGAGGAGACAAGCCCTCTCAGCCCTGCGCGTGGGTTACAGGGGACCCTCAAGCGGCTTCTGCTGGCCTGCTCTCCTTCCTGCCCATGTTTGTAGTCTACTCAGGGAAGGCACTGGAAAGCTGAATGAAGGGGGGAGCTCGGCCCCCAAATCTCATGGGGCATTGTCATGGCAACAAGAACCACTGGCCCATTGGCCTGACCACATTGCTCCTGGCTGGAGCGATGGGCAATCAGGGGCCTTTCCCTTCCCCTCCGTCAAGAGGTGTGTGATATGTGGTGCTGCAGGTGGGAGGGATGAACCCGCCCTGTCTTGGTCCTCTTCCCCCTGGCCCCCACCCCTGCCTCCGCTCCAGCAGGGAGCTTAGGCAGCGGAAATCCAGACCCAGGAGTCAAGCGAGGGGCCCGTTCTCCCAGGACAGAGAGCAGGAGAGATGAAAGTGTGCAGTAGGAGCTGAGGGCGAGGCTCGTGTGTGGGGGGGGCACCCCACATTCCTCAGCCTCACCCCAGGCCTGACCCCTGACCCCTGCCACATGAATCCTGGCAGGGGGAGGGGCAGAGCTGGTGGGGGCCGGGGAGGGGCGTCCAGAGGCTGGGTGGGGGATAGCAGGGCTCCAGGACAGTGGGTCTTAAAGGAAACAGGAAGGCCTGCGCCACCGCCACCAGCTCATTGCTGGGTGGGGCCGGGCTTGGAGCTCAAGGCAGAGGCCCTGCTGCCACAGTCACCAAGAGGCCTGAGGGAGGCAACAGTCCCCTCTGCCAGGCAGGCTGTGGGCTGTGACGAGTGCACCCAGCCAGAAAGCCATCTCCGCAGATGTCCCAGTGTCAGCCACTGCTCACACTCCTTCTCACCCCTGCATTGCACTGGAGACTCCGCTGCCGCTAGAGCGGAGACAGGCTGATAGCAGGGGACAGAGGGGAGGATGGGATGCGACACAGCCGCTGGGAGAGCTGAGGGTGCACAGCGCCCTTTATCTGGCTGTTTAATCCCTGAAGCACTTCTGTGTTGTCTCATTTCGGCCTTTCCACAACCTCACGAAAGAGCTGGGTGGGTACTTTCATCGTGTCCAATTTTCAGAAGAAACTGAGGCTTAAGAGCTCGTGGCTTGTCTGAAGTGGGAAAGGTCTGGGGCCGGAGGACAGCCCCACTCAGGACTCAGACCTCCATGTTCACCACAGCCGTGCCTCAAGACCCCCAGCTCTCTGGACTTCGCTGTCCTGGGAGACGCTCCAAGTGTCTCCCACTGGCCTAGAGGCCTTGGTCGGCACCTTGACTCACTTCCGATGCCCGCAGCAAAAGGGGCAAATGCGGCAGAGGAGAAAGCCACCCTCTCAGTCCCAGCCTGCCCATCCCTAACGCCCAGCCAAGCCTGAGCCAGCACGTGAGGTAGGCAGGAACAGCCCAGGCCTCCCACATTCTGGGGTGAACAGGCCCATGCCTGCGCCCAGCTTGATGAGTCCCATTTGAGGCCCTCTGAGATGCCCACTCCCTGAGCCCGGGGCTGGCACTTACCTGGGCATAGTTCTCCGCCCGGGTGAGGAGGGGCAGCTCGTAGGCAGCAGAGAAGTGGGTTCGAACCTGCTGCATCTGTCCGAAACGCTCCCTCTTCCTCCACTTGGCCCTCCGGTTCTGGAACCAGACCTACAGGACAGAGAGGTTGTTCTGGGGCTCAGGCAGTACCTGTCATTCCCTGGAGCCCCGCACCTGTTTCAGAGTCAGGTCTGGGCCGTGCGGCTGCAGGGAAGGATCTGCCTCAGCCTTCTGCCTCAAAGCTCACAATCTAGAATAATCCGTGCTGAGAGTCAGGAAGGCAAGCTTACCCCCAACTACCTAGAGTGTGATCTTGAGCCAGACTCTATCATTCCGAGCTGCAGAATCCAGAGCGGGCAAGTGTCACACCCATGCGTCATGTCACTGGTCCTCCTCCAGGTCATCTAACCAACCCCAGCCCAGCATGGCCTGACCTGCCTCAGGACACGGACTCCTGAGGGGAACCTGACCAAAGGTGTGACAGCTCCTCTAGAAAATCTTTCTCTAGACGCTCATACACACGTACACAGACACACACACAGTCTGGCCATAATTTTCCACCAGCTCTGTGGTTCCTTGGGGCCTGTCCAGTGGCCCAGAACCTGCATTCCTACCTAGCTAAAGCCTCTCTGCTGCCTTCATGTTGGAAAGTGTCCCCACTCAGGCCCCCTGTGCTGAAGGTCCTGTGGAGAACAGGGGTTCAGCTGGGCAGCACAGGCCCTCAGGGATGGCTTCGTGAAGGAGAGGCCTGGGGCTGTGTCCTAGTGTAGACACAGCAGGGCAGGCTCAGGAGGCCCCAGGAGACCATGCTGCCCAGCTGGCAGGCGGCGGGAGAGAGAGACCCGTGGACGCAGAGGTCAGACTGTGGAGGGCCTTGATGCCCAGCCAAGCGGCTGGATCTTGGCGTGGTCCCTAAAGGTGGCCACTGCGAGGTCTCACGCAGAGGGTGGCCTGACTCCGAGGAGGAGTGAAAACCCACCTGTCCCTGAGCGGGGGCTGGTGGGATGTTGGCTGGGGTGGGGCCTTGGTGGGGAGGGTGGTCTCTGATGGCTGGGGGTGGGGCTGTTGGGCCCTTCGCAGGAGCACTTCCGACGGGCTGAGAGCGTTCCCAGGCTTCATGGGCAAGAGCTCGGCTTGGGGCCTGCTAGCCCTGCCCCGAGACTTGGGATCTGGGGCGGCAGAGGTGGGAGAGGGTGTGAGGAGGGGAGGGATCAGCTTCCAGACCCCAGAAGGCTTCAGGTTGAGTCAAAGGCAGGCCTCGGAGATGCCCAGAGGGAGGTTTCTGTCAGCCGGACAGGATGTGTCCCTGCCAACAGCCTCAGGCACAAGTGAGCACACCCCAACGGCCCCCCACAGGCAGCCCGCTGGCAGCCTTGCTGAGAGGACCAAGGATGTCCTCAGAGGAGGGAGAAGGAGGCGGGAGGGCTCCCTCACAGCAGCCCAGAGCTGCTCAGCCCGTCCTGGCTTCTAGCATAGCTGCGCCACCAAGCGCCCATTCCCGCACGGGCATTGTCGCTGGCCTCAGTTTCTGCATCTGGAAAATGGGGCCAATATCTGTACTAATGTCCTCACAGCAGTGGCGCCTCACAGAACAGCAGGTGAGAGCTGAGAAATGCTGTCAGGGAGTTCTGAAGAGTACTTGGCTCTTGGTTATTTATAGCTCCTGACCTTTCTTGCTGTTTTTTGCTAAAAGGAAAAGAAGCTGGGGTGTGCATGACTCATGGGAGTGTGGGGAGGGTGGGGGCAGGGAGTGAGTGTGAGGCTGCACCTCGGTTTCCCTCTCTGGTCCCAAGGATGCATGTGTGTGTGCACAAGTGTCACACACACACACACACACACACACACGGGCTGGCATTGTTTTGAGGGCCATCCTGCCTCCCTATCTTGAGGCTGGTGTAGGAGACGCATCAGCCCCTGCTCCAGAGCCTCCTGGGCCCCTTTGCCTCCTGGGGCTCCTGGGGTCCAGGCCCAGGCCTCCCGCTGAGAGCCAAGGGCAGATCAGGTCTCCTCTCTGTGCCGCTGAAACGGGATCCCCCTTTATCAGTGGCCTGGAATGGGGGGCGGGGGCCAGGATGAGAGAATGAATCAGAGGAGCTTGTTTTCATTTCATGTTTAATTTCCTGCAGGCTTAGCTCCGTCTTTCCGCTCCTTCCTCAGCCTCCCAGGGTTTGCTGGGGGGGAAGCCAGGGGGAGGGGAGAAGCCCACTGGAGGCATCAAGATATATGGCTCCATTCTTTCTTGGGGGCTGGGGGGGAAAAGGTGAGGAAAAGTGTCCGTGGCCGCCACTGGGTCGGGGGGTGTTGCCGGGAGTGGCAGGTGGAGGGGTGCCAGTGGAGGTATCTGGCAGGCTCTGGACAGGCTGGGGGGCACTGCACGGGGAGGGGGACAGCCGGTCCCAGAAGTGGGAGGAGGAGCGGAGTGGGGAGAGATGGAATGTGGGGGCTGGAGTGAGCGTGGGGGAGTGGCAGTGGGGGTGCTGGGTTATCTGGGAAGACGGCTGAGGAGCAGGGGAGCACCGGCAGAGATGGTGCTGTCTTTGGGATGGGAGTGGAGGAGGGCCAGGCCCAGGGATGTACGGGAGGGTTGAAGACGCAGAGACTTCGGGAGGTGGGAGGCAAGGCTGAGGGGCCGCAGAAACACCCAAGCCCTCCCCCCTTGCCTGCAGCCCTGGGCCCTGTTCCTGTACAGGGCTGGGACTCTTCTGCTGAACAAGCCCCGGGGCTCTGCAGCCTCAAGCCTCAAGGCTCCCCAGCTTGGGTGGTGGCCGGGCATCCTCAGGACCCCTCTGAGCTCACAGTGGAGGGCCTGGAGATTAGGCGTGGCCATCCTTCCAGCTCTGGCTCCTGGAGCCTGGCGCTCTGAGAGCTCTTCACAGATGCTCTGTGTCTCAGGGCTCTGCGGCCCCAGCCTGTCTCCACAGGACAGCCCTAGGGCAGAGAGGGGACCATGAGGTCCAGCCTTCCAGTCTGCATGTCGCGCCCCAGGACCACCCCGCTCCCGGCCCACCCTGGCCTGGGCCTGCTCAGCATAGGCTTCTCCCCAAGGAACCAACCGTCTTGGCGGGGGCCTCAGTAACCGCAGCCCATCTGGGGCCAGGGCGGGGTGGCCCAGGGCGGGGAGGCCTCTGTCTTATTGTCTTCAGACACCAGCTGCGGAGATCGGAATCCCAGACAGCAGAGAGAGGCCCCTGCAGCCCCTGGAGCAGGGCCAAAACCCGAGCTTCTTCCCAGGAAAGGTCCATCTTGGAGCCGCCCACCCCCCCTCCCTGTCCCCAGCGCCACTCTACGCCAGACACCTGGCTTCCCACCAGCAGAGTAAGGGCCCTGAACAAACCCAGCAGCGGCAGGCGGGGGGGTTCTACTGCCACTCCCCCCAAACCTCAGGGCACTGCCAGGCTCGAGCCAGAGGTCTGACGCACATGGAAGTCCCACCCACCCTGCTGCCTTTATACAAAGAAAAGTCTCAGAACAATATGGCCCATGTCCTGGCAGAGCCAACTAAAGTAAAAGAAACATGGGCTGGAGCTCAGGAGTCCTGGATTCTAGTCTCAGCCCTAACACTGAGTCACTGTTCAGGAGTCACCTGACCACAGGTGATCACGTCCCACCTGTGGGCCTCTTCCTACTTATTATCAAACCAGAGGACCAGATCGATGATCCTTTCCAGCACTAACGTTCTATATTCCTATGCTCCCCCCCTTAGATGAGAAGATATGCAACACATCAGCATTTCCCTTTCTGCCTTGGCTGCCAGGAAGCTCAGGGTTGAAATTTGTGCTCAGTGGCAACCGTGATTCTTAGCCTCGATGTCTGACCTAATTACCTGATGACACTGTTCTTGTTTTTAGGTGACATTAATAAAACTGTAATTGTAGCTGCCTCGACTCTCTTTTGAAAGTAGGCATAAATAGATGTGTGTGCACACGCAGAGGAACACTCGGCTTTGGCCGTGTGATGGCATCTGAAAAATGTTCTCTATGGCCCAGTGTCATTTCCATGGTTTGTCCTAGAAGAGCCGTCCTTCTTTTGTTACTAAGTGAATTCAACTCTCGGGTGCTCCCATCCACTTGTAAGGAACACGTGCGCGCGCGCGCACACACACACACACACCGTGCAGAAAGTGGACCAGTCAAACCCATACCAACAAGGTACCCACAGGAACGTCCCATAACTGGCCTCCCCCTTCTCCACCAGCTCCTTCAGTTCCTCCCAATCCACAGGCTGGGCTGAGGCCAGGTTCTGGAGTTCCTGTCCAGACTCCGAGGCCCATGAGGTCTCACGGCAGTCTATCCTGATGCAAAGAAGAGAGTTGGTGTGTGACACTTCTGGAATGACAGGACAGCCTCAGATGCCCTGCCTTCCTTCCCCAACCATTCACCAGGCGCTGGATAGGAACAAGACGGGCAGCCAGACCCTGGGAACTTGTGGCCAAACAACCCGACTCTTCAGTGTGGGTACCCGCAATTTCTGGATGGCTGCATAGTTATGGTGACAGCTGGTCCTTTCTCATATGATCCATTCTGAATGAAATCATTTCTGGACAATGTCACAGATGCTCAGCCTTGTTACGCAGAGCATGGCTGCGACTGAGGAACCTTTTACCGATGCCCTAGGAATGCTCTGCTGAAGGTTCCTTAGTGAACTGAGGCAGCAGGGGGCACCCTTGGGGCCTGCAGATAACGGAAGGCTCTGTCTTGCCCTGAGCCCACTTCTGCGCTGAGCCTAGCCCAGCTGAGCTGCTGCTTTAAAACAAAACAAAAAAATAAACAAACAACAAAAAAACAAGAACTGTTTTTTGCTGTCAAGCCATTGACTTCTTCAGCCCATTGGAGGGGGAAAAAACCGCTATGTGACAACACTGCATTTGCTATTTCTAACATGCTCTGGGGTAGAAAAGTAGACTGAGCGTGACATTTATCTGTGTGAAGCTGAAGCCTGAGCTTTAGTGCATGGATTTTTTCTCCTGTGCTTTGGGTACTCAGAGGTCTTTGCTTCCTCTCTGCTTCTTTTCCTGCTGTAACTTCATGTGAGGAGGGAGGACACACCTCTATAGACAAAGGAGGTCCACCAGTCTACAAATACTTTTTTTTTGCCCTCACTGCTCTGAGTTCAGCCTTCTCTAATTGGTAGGAATACAGTGGTGAACAATCAGACAGTACCTGTTCTCAAGGAACTCACACTATAGTGACAGGAGACAAACACAAAATAATTTAAGCCAGTCATAAATTCTATAAAGAAGAAGAAAAAACAGGACAATGTGGTTGAAGGCGACCCGATTTGCTTGTCTTATGTTATGTTGATTTGGGATGAGTTGGGTTGTTTTGAATGTGTTGGTCTGGGTTGTGTTGTGTTGGGTTGGGTTCTGTTGGGTTGTGCTGAACCATGTCAGGTGGGGTTGACTGTGGTATTTGGGTTGTGTTGGGTTGTGTTGAGTTGGCTGTGTTGATTTGGGTTATGTTGTGTTGGGTTGGGTCTTGTTGCATTGTGTTAAGCTGTGCTGTTTGGGTTGTGTTGGGCTGTGTTGGTCTGGGTTGTGTTGCGTTGGGTTGGGTTCTATTGGGTTGTGTTGAGCATGTTGGGTTGGGTTGACTGTTGTTTGGCTTCTGTTGGGTTGTGTTGGATTGGCTGTGTTGGTTTGGGTTATGTTGTGTTGTGTTGTGTTGGGTTGGGTGTTTTGGCGGCTGGATGGTGTGAGGGAGCTACTGCTTTAGCTACTGTGGTCAGGAAGACTTCACAAAGGAGGTATATTGATTTGGGAGTCAAAAGATGGAGGAGGAGGCAGCCGTCCTGGGCAGAGAGAAGAGCCTGGTTGTTCTCTGTTTCTGCCCGTTGGACTGCTACAGATGTTTTTAGGTTTATCCTCTTCCCTTCCTAAGAGATAGGCCTTCAAAGGCAGAGCCCAGTCATCTTCTCCTTTGTGAAATGGCCTGGACACTCACACCACACAGAGCCCAGAAATACAGCTAATGGTCTTCTGTACCTGCTCTTGCCAGAGCAAGAAGGCTGATATTCAGGTGGAAAACAGCAGACTTCCCTGTGTGGAGCAGGGGTGTAAGGGGCAGGCTGTCCTTGGACTGGGGTAAAGAAAGCCCTGGTGTGGTTGAGGGACAGTCGGGTGGTCCCAGCTTTGGCCACCAGCCGGGGTGCAAGCCCTGCTTTCCCAATCTCTCCCCAGGAGCCCTCACTGACCTGCACGCGGGCCTCGGTGAGGTCTGTCCTCATGGCCAGCTGCTCCCGGGCATACACGTCAGGGTAGTGGGTCTTCTGGAAGACCTTCTCCAGCTCCTCCAGCTGGTAGCTAGTGAAGGTCGTTCGGTTCCTCCGCTTCTTGCCCTTGTTGCTCTCAGAATCGGCCTTCTCCAGCGGGCTGGGGAGGTCGGTACTGGCCCGGTCCTGGGGCCCCTTCACTCCAGCCTCCTTCACACTGAGGTAGCTGCTGTCCATCCCCACGGTGTCAGAGTCAGGCGGCAACTCTGGCTCACCCAGGGAGCTCTCCTTGGCTGAAGGGGAAGAAACAAGGTCAGAAACCAATGACCGAACCAAGCAAGAGAGGAGGGAGGGACAGGGAGAGCCCTCCCCTGCCACTCCCCTATCAGTGTCACACTGGATGCAAGGGTAGGAGTTCCTGGTTCTAATCCTGACTTGCCATTAACATGCCGTGTGACCTTGGGCAAGTCTGTTTCCCTCTCTGAACCACTTTGCCATCATCTCAGAATGGACCTTTTTTAGCATCAACATTATATGACCCTGGAACAGCCAATCTGATCTCTTGGACCTTTAATCCCTGCTCCCACCGACTCTGGGCTCCTCCATCTAGAAGGACCCCCTTTGCCAGAACTTCTGCTTTGGGCCTGGGGAATGCTGACCCAGTGCTTCAGACCACCAGGGGAAGGGAGAGCTAATTCAGCAGCCATGTCTGGCCCAACAGGGCAGGGAAGGGGCAGGGAGGAGGCCAGTGTCGAGACAGACAGGAATGCCCTTCCTATCCAGGCCTGGTCCTGTCTGGGCTCAGTAGAAGTTGCGGAGAAGAATCCCCAGCCCGAAGAAGCCAGCATGAGGGGTCACGCCTTCGTCCTTCACTGGTTTCACCTACTGTCCACGCAGGGTCCTGCCTGCTTGAGGCTCGTGGCGCATTTACTAGGGAAGCTGGGCGGGCACCTGCATTCCCAGGATGCTGACGTGTGTGCCCCACTAGAGTCACACTAAGCTCAGAGCTGGGCCCCCAGCCACCCCATCTGCCAGGATGGGGCTCTACTGGGTGATTTGTAGATGTCCAGAGCTGGGCAGGACCAGTAGCTCTATGGAGGTCAGGGATGAGGTGGTAGAGGCCAGCTGGTGGGGAGTGGGGAAGGGAGTAACTAGTCCACATCCAAATGGCCCAGTTAGCACCCTGGGCAGAGACGCTTGCCTCAGAGTGAAGGTTAGAGTGTGGACTCCGGAGCCTATGGAGAGTACGACTCCCACATGCACCTCGCTCCAGCTGTGAACTTGGGACAGTTCACTTAACCTCTTTGTGCCTCAGTTTACCCCTCTGTAAAATAGGGATGAAGATACTTGTAGGCTCTTCCTCCTGGGGCACTATGGGGTTAAGGAGGCCAACAGGCAAAGCCCTTAGCACAGCGCCGGCTACGTAGGTTTCTGTCCCTATCGGTGTATCCCCAGTTCCAGTATGGACTTCCAAGCTGCAGAGGACTCTGGCCCCGGAGAAGTCTTCCCAGCAGGGGGGTCCTGCCCAGAGCATCTGGGTGCACGAACAGGGTGCACAAACAGTGGGTGCTGGCCTGGTGTCCGGAGGCCAGTGGGAGCCCTTCTCTGCTGCGCCGCCCATCCCGGCCCGTGTGGTGAGGATCCCACGCCAGCTCTGATCACAATAAGGCCTCCAGGGAGCACTGGAGAAGGCCTGCACACGCACAAGCTCTGACGGTCACACGCACGTGTGTTTGGTGTGAGCACCTCTTCTGGGAGCAGGTCCATGTGGTGGGCATGGAGTGTCAGGACGATGCTGCTGGCTCAGGTCTCCTGACTCTGTCCACATCCTGGGGGCTGAGGCTGTAGGCTGGCTCTCCTCCCAGCTTCCCCTGTGCCCTGGCGGCTCTCTTAATGCTGGGAAGGGGCGAGGGACAGCTGCCTGTCATCCCCATCCCTCTCTCCGAGGCCCCAATGAAGGGGGTGGAGGTGAATGCTCAGAGCCGACCCGCCCGCAGCATCGGGAGGCCATTCGAGGGGGCCCTTGGCGGCGCTGATGCCACAGGGAGGGCGGCAGCCCCCAGGCATCACGCAGGACACCCACGTGAGCCCAGGCACACGCAGACCGCCACAGCTGCGGTGACAACATTATGCAAACTACAGCTGGCAGCCGGGCCAAGAGCTTTCAGCGAAGATATTTATCTTGCTGGCAGACAAACAAGTTTTATGTTTTGGGTTTTTTTTTTAAGAGAAGAAATCCCACCCAGCCTCACCAAAAATAAACATCTCTGTTATGCAATTTCCTGGAGGCCAGACTGGGGGGCAACCCCTGCCCCTTCTGCCCCCGCACTGATCTCCAGGCCCCATCCCATGACCCCACAGACCTTTCGAGTGTCCTCTGGCATCCGGCCTGGGGTTGGGACCACCCTGCACAGCAACAGGGAATGGGCTGCTTGGGGAGTTCCGTGCTAGAGAGACTGAGGGTTGTAGGGACCAGCCCAAGCTCTGAGTTTTAACTGGGGGTAAACTCACACCAGAGAGAGCAGGCAATGTGTGCTAATTAGTGACAAAGCACAGCCTCTAGCCCCAGTCCTCTCCTCCTACCCTGTGGGCTTGGGGCCTCTTCCCAGGAAGAGAGGGGTAGGGGCAGAGGAAGGCAGGGGCCTCACATAATCAAGGAGTCCTGCTTTGCTCCTCCTGGGCGTGCGAGGACCAGCTTCTGAGGACGATGAGGGAAACCCCTCAGTGTTGACCCCGTTCTAGGCTTAGCCAGTTGGGGGGCAGCAGAACGTCCAGTCTTCTAGGGTGAGAAGTAAGAATCCAGGTTCTCAAACCTCTAGCCACCGACTGAGACCAAGCAAGTCGGGGAGAAATGGAGAGACAGCACGGGCTGTGCAGAGACCACCAGACTGAACTGGGAGGTCTGCTCTTGGGCCCAGCTCTACCATGGTCTGCCCGTGACCTCAGATGACTCTTCTCACATCCCAGAGTCTCATCGGCAGCTGGAGCTGCCATGCCCATCTGGAGTGAGGGGAGCAGGCAGGGGTGTGCCACAGCCTCGGCCCAGCGGAGTGTCCCTCCTGCCTTTGTCACCCTGGGGGCCTTTCCTTAGGATCTGGTGTGGCAAGAAGAGGGGAGCAGAATGGGGGCCAGTCTGGGTCCAGGCAAATGTTGGCCAACAGGAAAGCCTTAGAGATGGAAGGAATTCTGGCAAACTGATGCTTCCAGGTCCTCAAGGAAGAGGGAAGAGAGCCTTCCCATCTCAGTCTTCACTGTTGATCATTTTGCTTTAAATCGGGAGGCTGGGTTTCTAATTTAGATGACAAAGAACAATGCCCCAAGGTCCCATGGCTCACCCCCAAGAATCCCAGACTTGGGGTGGGAGGGGGGTCTATCTCAAACTCTTTCCACCCTGCAGCTTCTCCAGCAAGTGGGGCCACACAGGCTGTGGGGATAGAGAGCTCACTGCCATCAGGACACCCGGGCCATTCATCCTCAGCTCTGGCCTATGTCTGTCTCTTAGAGGTTTGGCTCACTGGTCTTGGCTCCGGCTCTCCTGGGTCTTCCCCGAGATGGGCGCCACACCTCCCAGAGCCTTCTGTCCTCCTGTCTAAACAGCTGCGGTTCCCACTGCTGGCCTCAAGTTTAACAAGACTGACACGGGGGGCTGGCAGGGACAGGCTGCATGATGGTGCTGGGGCCTGAGCAAAGCCAGCAGTATGCTCTCCAACTGAACAATCCTGAGGATCTGGGTGGAGAATCAGGTGGGTGGCCCAGGGCCTGGGTGTTGGGTCAGGATCCCGTTCGCCCTGCAGTGCCCTCCTCAATAAGACAGCTGTTGGAACCAGAGGAGCCCACCACTCGGGCTGAAATACTCTTCACCAAAGGTTCCCACTGACTTCCTTGGCCTCCCTTACCTGCACCTCTGGTCACCTGCCTGGAATGGCCTCCTTTCCAGCTGACCTGCAAGATCCCGTCAAGCACCAGCTCCTCCAGGAAGTCCTCCCAGACTGCGACAACCCTACAGACCCCTTTGGGCTCTGCTCAGCCTCTCCCATCACTGCCTGTGTTTCTGACCAGTATGTAATCAAGCCCCAAGTGTCTATTCCTTCCTCTAGCACATCAGTTCCCCGACAGTTGGAACCTCATGTCACGGACCCTGGGCTTCGCCCAGGATGGGGCAGATGGCAGATGTGCAGTGAGAAGTTGCTGGAGAGTAAGTGGACAATTTCTAACGAGCAAACACTGCTGAGTCTGTGCAGCTACCTTTGTGTGCCTACCGTGTGCCGGCCGTGGAAAGCCTCCGGCAGAAGGTGCTTGTTGAACCCACGAGTGGACCAGTTCACCCTGCTACACGAGGAGGAGACAGGTGGGTAGGACACGGGAGAAAGGGGCTTGCATTTGCGAGCGCCTCCGTGAGCAGCTGGCAGCAGGAGCCACAAGAGGAGACGAGACGGCGGACCAACACGGCCGGCGGAGCATGTGTCCATGTGTGGCCGGCGGGAAACGCGGAGCATCAGGGCAGCAGACGCAGAAGCAAAGGGATGGGATTTAAGGAAGGGCTCTAGAACATAAACGTCCAGGGAACCCAGTCCGAGATCTGCTGGGAGCCAGCTCTGTACCCGCCATGATGCCGTGGTGGGGAGAAGGCCACCGGGAGACCCTCTGTCGCCCTGCTTCTGGGCCAGCCCTCTTCAGGGACGAGAGCACTGTGCTGCACGAGGCTGAGCAACAGCAGAGGCCCCTGGGCCAGATCACCCGCCTGCAGCTCTGCCTGCCCCCCCCCAAACTGGACTCTGGACTGGCGCCATGTGGATGCCCCGCCCACAGTGTGGAGGGGGCTCTGTCCCTGTCTCAGGGGCCCAGGGCAAGGTCATCCCGATCTGCTGCTTCCCAGTGGAATGTCTTGAGGGGGCTATAAACCGCAGATGACCCAGAGGAATCAAGCAATGTGTGTACGTAAAACACCCAGGGTGACCAGTGGCTGCCCCTCCAAAGGTCTGCCTGCGATGGCGGCCATGAGGGTCGGCTCGCCCTTCAGACGACCCTAGGTCAATGTCTCCACCAACCACTTCTGATGAAGTAGCAGCATTTGGCTTAAAGATATATTGCGCATCAGGAGCTACAGAAGGGCCTCCAACCTCTGCCTGAACTCCGAGAAATACAAGAGATGGAAAACCTTTCTTCTTTCCATTCTCCCTTTTTGCTGTCCTGCTTCAACCCAATAACGTCACTCTAACCTAGTCTAGTCTAAACTTCTTCTTCTTCTTCTCTCTTTTTTTTTTTTTTTTTTTGTTGGGCTACGAGTGCGCTC